TGGGCGACCTACGCGCGGAACTACTGCCGCGTGCTCAAGTTCTGCGGCGACCACGGCGCGCTCCACGACGTCCACCCCGTGGCCTACCTGCTCTGGCCGGAGATGTACACGTCCATCCAGAAGCTCACCATCGACGTCGTCGTCGCGGACAAGCTCGGCCCGTCGAACGGCCACTCGCTCGTGGACCGCCGGAACCTGGCCAAGGGCGGCGCCGCGGACGACCGCACGGGCGTCTCGTTGGGCGTCAAGAAGAAGGCGACGGTGCTGCTCGACGTCGACGCGCCGACCTTCATCGCCCACTTCGTCGAGTCCCTCGTCCCGGACCGCCAGCTCGTCGCGCCCTAGGGCGGGCGGCCGCCCCACCATCGCTCGACCTTAACCTTCGCACACTCACATCATCTCGACGCCGTCGGCGATCTCGAGCTCGAGCCCCGTGGCCTCGTCGCGGGCCACGGGCGCGAAGCGGTCGCCGAGGACGTCCCGCGTCGGGTCGTGGCGCCGCTCCTTGTACTTGCGGCGCAGGAGCGCGAGCGCGAAGAGCGCAAAGGCCGAGAGCAGGAAGACCATGATCATGCCGCCCAGCGGCGGCGGTCGGTCCGCGTCGTCGCCGGACCGGCGGCCCTGGCCGTCGCCGCGCCACGTCGTGTAGCCGTCGTCGTCGTCGTCGCCGCCGAGGCAGCCCGGCTCGTCGCCGTCGGGGCAGCAGCTCTTCGCGTGGCCGCAGCAGCAGCGCGCCCACTCGACGGCCATGCCGGCGCTCGCCTGCTCGCACGTGAGCGCTTGGGACGCGCGGCGCGCCGGCGTGTAGGCCGCGGGGCTGAACCCGAAGGTCGCGCAGAACTCGGGCGGCGCGTCGCCGCCCGGCGCCTCCGGCGCCGCGTCCGCGGACCCGCAGTCCGCCGGCGGCTCGCAGCAGAAGGGCCAGGGCGCGCTGCAGACGAAGTCGTGCCAGCCGTGGCGCTCGTTCGCGCAGACGGCCATGCAGTCCTCGGAGCCGAAGCCGTCGTTCGGCTCGCCCGAGTGCCAGTCCTCGAACGTCGCCGGCGCGTCGCCGTTCTTCCAGGCCCAGGCGCCCTCGTCGGCCTTGTCGTTGAAGCCCGTCCAGGCGCACAAATTGTGGTCGTCGAAGGGGCCGTTGGCCTTGAGCCAGTCGTTCGTCGCCGCGTCGCGCACGGAGACGAGCGTCGCGCCGTCGTACGCGTCCGCGCAGTGGCGGCGCGCGTCGTTCCAGCCCATGGGCGACTTCATGCACCGCGGCGCGCAGTCGTCCTGGATGCAGCCCCCGCAGGTCGCGCGGCATTTCCGCTCCGCCCAGTCCGTCGGGTCCGCCTGCCAGGCGCAGTGCTCCCGCGTGCGCTCGTCGGCGCAGGACACGAAGCCCGCCGGCGGGTCCTCGCCGTCGTGCGGGTCCAGGGCCGTGTCGACGCACGACGGGTCGTCGCCCACGGTGTTTTGGACGAGGAGGGCGAGGGTGGCGAGGCGCAGCGTCATGCTTCGTGCGCCCACGGCGGCCATCGTCGTCGTCGAAAGCGCGCTCCTTGACCTCGTGTACACTGCAGTGTTTACCCAAAAGGTTCAAGCACCCGCTTTTGGCAGCCCGCAAATTGCATCTCGCAATTGCGCAAAGGCTGTTGGCCATCGGCAGCATGGTGGTGCCGTGAGCTCGATCAAACGGGCTAGTAGTAGAGCAAGCGCCGCAAAACAATCGGCTCCGTTCGCCATGAGCGCATCCACGGTCCTGAGCCGGCCCGTGCCGCCGCTACCGGACGCCACCATGCTCGGCCTCCTCGTGCGCAACGTCACGCGCGGCGCCGCGCCGCTCGACGCCGGCGAGCTCGACGTGCTGCGGGCCGCGCGCGCGGAGATCGGCGCGGAGCGCTGGGAGCAGTGGCTCGAGATCGCGCGAGCCGACGCGCGGCGGCGGCGCCAGCTCGGCCAGGCCGCGGCCGCCGCGCCGGCCGCGACGCCCTGGCCCGCGCGCGGCTCCGGCATGCGCGCCGGCGGCCTCGCGACGGAGGCGACGCGCGCGTCGCCGGCGCCGGAGCCCGCGCGGTCCGCGCGGAACGGCCGGGACGACGGGGAGCCCGCGGCGGCGCCGCGGTCCGCGCGGCGGCCGCGCGGCGGCTGGGCCGCGGAGGACGAGGACCTGGCGCCGGCGACGGTCCGGTCGACGCGGCGGCCGCAGCCGAACGGCACGGCGCGGGGCTGGTCCGCGGACGAGCGCGCGCCGTCCCGGGGCCGCGAGCTCGGCCACACGGCGTCGTCCGCGCGGCGCGCCGCGGCGCCGCGGACGCCGGCGCCGGCGCCGCCCCAGCCCTGGGACGACGACGGCGCCGCGCACCGCGAGCTCGTCGCCGCGCAGCGGACGGCGCTCAAGTCCGCGCGGGAGTCGCGGAGCGCCTTGGAGGACCTGCGGCGCGTGCTCGAAGCGCGCGAGGTCGAGCTCGCCGTCGCGCGCGACGCGGCCGCCGCGGCCGAGGCCGAGCGCGACGAGCTGCGGCGGCGCCTCGACGCGGCGTCGGACGGCGACGGCGAGGACGCGGACCCGCGCGTCGGCGAGCGGACGCGGCGCGTGCTGCGCCACCTCGACGCCGCGCGGGGCGCGGCGCTCCTGGCCGCGGCCGTCGCCGCGGACGCCACCGCCGACGAGACGTTGGACGGCCGCATGCCCCGCGCCGCTCTGGGCGCCGCCGAGGACCACCTCCGGACCTTCGCGGCGTCCGCCGTCGACTTCGCCGCGGTCCTCGCGGCGGCGTCCGCGCCGCCGCCGCCCGCGGCGCTCGCGACGCCCGCGCCCGCGCAAGCCGCGCCGCCGGACGACGACGCGGCCAACGCCGCGCGCTTCTCCCAGCTCGCGGACCACCTCGCGCGCTGCGCGACATCGCCGGTCAACTCCCAGGGCTCGGACCGGCGCCGCGCGCTCGACCTCGACGGGTGGCCCAGCGCGGCGTCGTCCGCGAAGACTTGGGCCGTCCCCGCGCACGAGCCCAAGTCGAAGGCGTGGCGGTAAGCAAAAAAGGTTAGGCAAAAAAAGGGAGGGGAAATGGGCCTTCAGTTGTACTCGGAGCAGACGCAGCCGCACGCCTGGGACGCGCGGACGCCGCCCTTGTCCTTGTAGCGGTCGCAGCGGGACTTCGAGGCGCCCTTGTTCGCGAGCCACTCGCAGCCGCGGCCGCGCTTGCCCTTGTGGAGCCAGTCGTCGTCGTCGGCGCAGAAGCCGAGCGGCGTCGGCGCGGGCGTCGGCGCGGGCGCGTAGTACTGGTCGCAGACGCAGCACGCGTCGCGCGCCTTGACGCCGGCCTCGTCCTTGTAGCGGTCGCAGCGCTTCTTCGAGTCGCGGCCGTCGAGCCAGGCGCAGTCGCGGTCGTCCTTGACGCGGCCGCGCGAGAACTGGCGCCACGACGCGTCGTCGACGCACGCGCCGCCCTCGGCCGTCGGAGCGGCGACGGGCGCGATCGAGGGCTTGAGGGACGCCGTGGGTTCCGTCGTGGGCTTCGCCGTCGGCGCGGGGAGGGGCGCGAGCGTCGGGGCCTTGGACGGCGCGTACGTCGGGATCGCCGTCGTCGGCTCGGCCGTCGGCGCCGCCGTCGGCGCGGGCGGCGCCGTCGGCTCCGGCGACGGCGC